TTTCATATTCTTTGACATCAAATTCACTTTGCTTTCATATTCGCCTGAAGTGTGAACCAGACTCCTCAATGGAAGAGAGTCTATTCCGACGTACTATCTGGCAAACTAGTGATTGTCATCATCTTTTTCCCATGTTTTTCTTTTTTTGGGGCAGCATCCTGATTATTTGATGTTCTTATTGTCTGTTTGTGGGTTGCAGGGCCTTGAGACCTGGTGACAAGGGCTGGGTAGGCAGGGCCCGCGTGCCCCTTCCATCCACCAAGGACTATGTGGTCCGGCCCAAATGGAACGTGGAGAAAGAATTCTCAAAGGTATTAAACTGATAAAAACTGTCTTCACTCCGGGTTTGCATGGTTGCCATCTTGAAGGCCAGTGCTTTTGTTCTATGGGGTATGCACAAAAGAGGCTTTCCTGTGGAACAAAAGAAGTGCCCTGCAAGATGGCTGCGACGCAAAGCCTCGGTACTTTATCACTAGCCCTTGTATTTGATATTATGTTGTGTTGTATTTATTGAAAATATGCAAATCTACACAATGGGGGCAGTTTCAGGCATTATGGGGAATAAGAGGTAGGGTGTTTTAACCCTCAATTCCCATGTCCTTCAAAATCCACAAGGAGATTTTGTAGGAGTTTGTAGGTTTGAGGAGAAGGCAGGGCCCAGCCATTTCTTTGTACGGGGCTTGGTGTCCCTTAATAGTTAGGGTAGAAAGAATGGGTGGTTGGCATCGTGCACAGTGGAGGATTTTGGAGGTTCCCAGTGTAAAAGACTATTTGCAGATGCTCTGGTGAAAAGTTATGTGTTTCCGCATGATGAAAAGTTGCCTGAAGAAGAGTTCCTCTATGTTAATGCCAATTACTGCCACATTCTCTGAACAAGCCATTATTGAGTGAATGTGTACACACCTGAACACCCATTCGCCTGTTTTGAGATTTATAGTTTGGAGGTGTATTTTTTAGTCCGCTTATCTCAGAATCTTCGCACTCTTTATGTTCAAAAGTCTCTGTTAATCATCTTTGTTGTAAAACTTGGCAAGCCATTTCAGCGGATAAAAAAAATTGGTGCCGTTGTTTTCCTCAACAGAGCAGCAAGAAAGAACCGACTAAACTCGACAAACACTTGAAGCGATTCAAGGATGCCAAGGCGCGGAGCCGGAACAAGAATCCCCGCGCCATCTCCATCAGCATCGAGGGCCGCAAAGTAGCCCTATAGTGAGGGACAGAGACAGAGAGACGATAGGGACGTACGGTATTTTTTACTGGCTATTTGCTCCACCGAGCCCTCTAATGGCCAACAAAGGTGACATTCACCACAAAGGTGCCTGCACTTCCGTGCCACTTTTCCGCAAACAGAAGGGGATGATATCATTTTTGTGTCCATTCAGATGAAAATTTGGGCATGGTGAGCAGATGTGATGCCAGTGTCATGATTTCAGTGCCCAGAGGCCTAAGCAGGAGTACGTTTGGGGGCAGACTGTACGTTGACCACCGGTCATCTACTTTTTATCAATGCCCACTTGCAGTGCAGTCACACTCGAATGAGCCCAGATGTATTAGTTTGTAAAATTCTCGTCACCCACACTTTGCCGTTGGCTACAACTCTCGCACTGTTTATAGTCAATGATATAACTGTTGAATGTGAATGGTTCCCTCTGTACTTATAAATTAGATCAGTTATTTATGACCATATGAGGGGCAACCGTTCCCCAGTGCCTGATTCCAAATGGTCGACTAAATGGCCTAAACCATCCATTGTCAAGGTGGCAGTGGTCGAACTAGAGTTAACTGTAGTCGTTGCTTGAACTTCAGTTTACCTTAGCCTTTTTATGAGATGGAAACAGCGCCCTCAAGGGCCCACAACCTGTACTCTTTTAATATTCCTGAAAGAACACTTCTTGGGGGCTGGGGACCTCCTCAAAGCCATACATTAAAGCAGATTTTACTGCTGAGGAAATTGACATGCTTAGCAAAAATTGGCTGGGCACCAGCTAAACAAAGTATGCAATGCATGGTACTTTGGCCGAACCCCTGCTTTTCTTAAGCAAACTTTTTCTCGGCTTAGCAGATGTCTGTATTTTTAATAGCAGGTCTGTGAAATTGGCACCAGATCTCGGCTGTAAAAATTACCACTATTTTAACTTTTGGTATGCTTGAAAAATCCTATTACGCTAAATTGTTGCCGTCAACTTCTGCTCTTGTATGCTGAAGAGCCTGAGAAGGCATTTGGCAGAATCCAAGTCCAGTGTACATATCTAATCACTCGTGTCGCAACCAGGACATTTTTGTCTCACCTACGACCAGGGCGAGATTGGAGAAAAATGAAATATGCAAAGAATAATCACAAGATGTTTTGACGGCCCCGCAGTAGCGTAGGGTCCACGGTAAACAGTGGAACATCGCTACAAGAAGGTCCTTGGGACTTCACAGATTACCTTGTTATAACTGGTACCTTGTATTATCAACGATGGGAAACAAAGACTTACGACCTAAACATTTCCTGTAAACATGACTTTGTATATCAGTGCTCTTCTTATATGTGTTTGACTGTACATTTGTGTTTGCCTGAGGACACCTCTTACAACACCCATTTTCTTCTCTCTACATCGACTTCTACATGTATATGTTAAAAAATACCTTCATTGTAAACTCGGAATTTTTCGGATTGTAAAGGAGATTGTTTGAAAAATCCTGATATCAGGAGAAATCCTGACAAATTTCACCCCTGCTATGAACTGTTTCTAAAATGATGAGGGGTATTTAATGATACAAATTCCTACACCAATCTGTAATCATTTGACAGCAGAAACCGTAGCCTGTAATCGATTTGTTCAGTTTTTTCACAAATTTTGTATGTAATGAAAAGGAAGGGTTTCCCACCTTCGAGCTTGTTGAACGTGCAATGCCACTGACTGCTGTTTTTGGCATGTGTACATTTTATTTTGGAAAGGGAAAACATCTGCCAGTAACTGCAACAATTATTACACTCTGCATTTCCTCAGAGTCGTGTGATCTTATGTTAAAGTACAACTTTTCGTTGGAAAATCATGTGTACCTGTACATGGGTTGCGACGAATTGGGTTGCATGATCACTGCACATCAGGGCGGGAGCCTATTGGCTCTGTGCATCACCAAAGAGGGAGCTGTTTCACCTAGCAACCAGAGCCGTAAATATAGAGAGTTATGACATGAGTGTTACCATTGTTGGAAATAATGCGTGGGTGCACTTGGACGGTCGGTATACAGCAGCTCTACCGTAGGTGCAGTGAACAGCCATTCTGTTTTCAAAATCTGAAGCTGGTGCTATTCTCTACATATACAGCTCTGCCAGCAACAATATCTGGGTGTCAGACCTGCCACAGAGTACGACCTTGTTATTTTTCGACAAGCAGTACATGTATCTACGGCTGGCAGCATGGTGTCAATTGCATACTTTATACAAATGGGCCAACCATGGATTGATTTTGCCTTGTGGCCATGCTTAAACAAATGTCCTGGGTACCGGGGCAAATCAACGATGGTTGACGTATTGTTGCTGATCAAACTTAAAGCCACGACGAGGTGGTTTTGTCAACATCAGTCGGTGCAGCATTTCTGCAAGCATCGTGGTCTCTTTGGGTATACTGTAATCTTGTATATGGATGTAACTATAAGCCAGGTGATCACAGGAATTACGAGTACATGTAAAAGTAGACATGTCTTGTCTTATGATGACACGATTATTGAAGACTCCGGTTCACCATTGAAAATGAGAATACCAGTTTTGTTTTGTACAAATTAGATCAAACTGAACTGGAAATTTCTGAAATGCCACTCTTTTTTTGTAAATAAACTGGATTCACATTTGTAATACTCGTGTAGAGTTCATTTGCTTTGAAAGAGTCTGGGGATTTGGCAACATTGGAAGATATTGAAGCACTGGAATGCAGGGTACCTTGTATTTGGAGCGAATGTTGGCACCTGACTCCAGTGGAAAGAGGAGGCATTCCAAGTCGAGGTAAACGTTATTGAGGGCCAAGTTCAGAAGACTGACCACTTGTCAACTGCTTGTTGACTGTAGCCGGTAACCCATGCATGAAAATAAAATGCATCCGGGCTGCCAGTCAAAACTTAACCACTGGATGACCAGAATGGTTGCTGATCTCCAGGGAGGCTGGCACAAGTGATGGCATTTCCGTGTCAACTTGCTCATTCATTGTCTGAACACTTATTTTTGTGTGTATTGAAGTTAACCACTTAGCGCCGCCGTAGACCCCATATGGCCCACATTCTTCAGATCCACACAGCCAGGCGGACTGACTGCTAGGAGTCACCATAAGCTGTAATCCTCCTATTGTAAAGTACAATGGCATGAAATACCACAACACTCTAGGCCAGCCTGGCCGACAAACACGTCGCCCAGCCCACCCATTTTTTGTCCTTCCTGGCTGGGCTGAGGGCGAACAAAGAAGCTGTTATGCCACACCACAATAAACATAACAATGGCGTTTTTTTTAAAGTGCCCGGCCACGCTTGATTGCCTTCTGACTTATTACATGAGATGCATTTCTTGGGTGATTTTTTTTCCTATAAAAGTATGGTGACTACGAATGTCAAAATCATAAAACACCGCCCGGCAGCTTGTAAGTCAAGGGAACTTTTTAGCCGGCGTGAAGTGGTTAAAGTTACAGCATGGTCTGTCCCCAACATGTACAGGCATGTTGGACACGTGAAGCAAATATACACGTGTACAGAGAGACGAAAAAAGCTCTTCCGTGTACCTTCCAACAATTCCTATTTTTGGCCAAGAGAAAAATAAGGCGTGAAGTCTCATCGGTTAATTTAACACTATTCACTTTTATTTCTCTTCAGTTTTATAAGACGCACCGTTTCCTTCAAATGATCCTTCCACGTGTCATGGCACAAATCTGGAAATCATTTGGTACTCTAAAATTCTACATGTATTTACAAAAAGGTCAAACACCCGTTTTTCAATGCCCGATGGTGTGCCTACTGAGGAATAAGTGAAAACTCTAAATATTCCCCAAGTGTATGGCAATGTTCCATCCCTTTGCAAAGCTCCCCAATTTCTAGGTTAATTTCTGTGTTCCGGATACCAAAGGCATTGCCAAGATTTTTAATGGAAATGCACCGGTGAACATCGCAAGTTGCTTTCTTTAAAGTTACTGCGTTAAACTGTGCACGGAAACTTTTATAAGCTTCCGTTCAGAAGCTGAAATAATCACAGATAACATAATGCACAACACATCTGACTTTGGTCCACTTGAATGTTAAAAACACCTGTGTCCCTTTCCCAGAATGAACAGGTCATATCAGTCTCGTTTGAAAAAGAGAGATATATAACCCACAAGATATGATATCCCAAAATCCAGGTGGAAAATTTCAACACAAGCACCAAACCTGGACCCAGTGCATGGCGCTTCATTATGGGACAATTTTAGATTTTTCAACTGCAATTCAGTTTGTGCACGGTTGAATTAAACACTTCACTGGAGAGAGACTGCACATTGATAGGATGTTCACTTTATCGGGGTTGGTTTTTATATTTACACGAACAAAAGAATGTTTAAAACAATGGACAAAAATTAAAAGCTGAAATTCAACACCACCACATACGGCATAAGTTTGATATAACTATGTGATGTTTTTACAACTGCTTGGTTCTCTGCTTTCTGTCTCGACTGGAGTGTCAGAAGGCAACTTTTTTTTCTGGTGATTAAAAATATATGTACATATACACAGTCGACGAAGCTACATGTAAATGAGAAATGTGGTACAGTCGTCATGATTGAAAGGATTGTAAATTGGCCGGAAAAATTGATCTGCTTGTGTTAAAAAGGAAGAGTTGTCTTTGAAAATGTTTACTGTTAAAATCCTGTTAAAAAATTGGACAGAAATTGAGCAAACATAATTGGACTCATTACCGATGGAGTTCAACCATTGCTTTTCGCACGTACCACGATTAAAAAGTTGTACACCACTCTTGGTACAACTGATCACATAAGGGAAAAAAAAATTGGTGAAAGAATTTGGCTTAAATACAGAAAGTACTGGTCATGGTTAAAAAGGAGTTTAAAAAATTTGGAAATAATTATTTGTTGGCAGTATCACCACTTCAAAAAATTCCTTGTAAATTCTTCTAACCAGTCAAATTTGATTTGTAAAAAAGATTTGGCCTGGTCACAGGGTTCAAGGCCTGTAGAGGGATTACGAACGAGCTTTGCGGCCAACTTTTACTGTAAGATTTCAGGACTAACATTCATCATGTTGGAATCATTCTGATGTGCGAAATCATTTTTTTCCAGTTAAATTTAAAAAAAATTCTCACTTTGTGTCGTCACCTGTAACTGCTCTTGTAGACATAAATTAATACGAGCTCAACTGTCAATTGCCTCCGTTAGAATTCTAATTCATTGGTTAATGGAACATGGTCATCTGGACGTTATTTGGTTTGGCCTTGCCATGGTCGCCCAGGCCAGCTGGTCCTCTCGGCACCAGCTTGCAATCCACTCAACGCCGTGGTGTTTTTCTGCCCCTGATTCCGCCATCTTGGCGCAATTTCTCCCTGCAATTACTTTGGTGACCAGTTGCAGACCTGAGTTTTGCCTACAACTGCAGCACATCTAAAGGTGGAAGCTTCGCAACGCCGTAAAATACCCTGCGGGCCAAAAAAAAAAATTACAATGGGAAAAATAGCAACTAGCATAGCCCCCTTTTTGTGACTGTTGCAAATCCCAGGACTCAATGTTGAACACCTACTTACAATCATTTTTTTACCTCATAAAGATATTGGTAATTTGTCTTTGATTAAAACTCAAAACCGTCACAGCAAACTATCAATAGGCTGCCAAACTCCATTCAGCAATAGAGGGATCCCAATACGATGCTTTTAGCGTCAATCTGTGCACTTCTGCGTTTGAAAATGAGGCTATATGTGTCAGCTTCAATTCTTAATTTGATCAGACGATGGAAAGTAAGGAGTCAAGACACAAAATACATAAAGGTATGTTAACTTCAGACTTTTCAGGCTGCAAATTTTTGTGGAAGAGTCTTTCAGGATGACTCGACTCGTGAAATCAAAAGAAAAAATAATGGCAATTTACCGCGAACTAACATACTTGCGATGGTCGTCTATCTCGTGCAGTAGGCATGGTTTAAACTGAAGTGGCGTCACACTTACGAACCGGATACTGCATGTACTGTGTTGACTTCGCGGGCGCGCGCGACAGAGTTCAACACAGAGAGCCTCGGTTTCAATGCAGATATGCGCAGACGGCACTAATGTGAAATCCATCTATACGTTTTTTTTTTCCTCGAGTGTAGTTTTACTACATGTACATACTCATTGCGATCATGAGGTTTAAAACCCAGAAATTTTGGGCTGGCATTTCAGGATTGCTGGTGTCACCCTTTTACAAAGTTCATATTGCTTGGTCATAATCTGAGAGTCATGTGATTGCTGTGGACTGCTTTAAAACAAAAAAAAGTCAGTCCGACCAGCTTACATGACCCGACATGCCAACTTGTCAGAGCTGAGCAGATGAAATGTTTTGAAGTCACATGTTGCATGGTCATCAGACTATGCCTACACACATGTACCTGATGCAGATCAATACAGTGTATAGTGACTGTTTGTGGCAGTGTGATTCATTCAAAAAACAAAAACAATTTCTTTCCGAAAGCCGACTCCAAGAATTCCAGCCTCGCTTGGCCACGAAGGCCACCTGCCAAACCGCAAATTCTCGGTTTGTGGACCTGCGTGCTATGCACGCTTTGAATTACACAATGAAAAGGCTGATTGTTCGGTGGCATGCGGCTCTACTCAAGCGTCCACATTCCCGTTGCCTCTTTTCAAAGTGGGGACTATTGTGAAGCCGGTGATTATGATGCAAATTAGGTCTTTTCATTTCTGGGCTACTCACAAAGACCAATTACCATACATACAAGAGCCAGGGTCTGCTTTCTTTCACCATGTTCGCTCGAGCGTGGGCCGAGAATAATACCTGAAAAGCAGGCTGAGGATCTCAGTTTTTAGGGCGGCTCTAGCCGCGTCCCGGCGCAAAGGGGTTAATGTTATAACATAGACATCCTATCTACATGAGCTGTGTGTGCATAAAATGCCACAACATGGGCGCCAGATGCACTCTTGTCGATCCTGATTAAAGAAACAAGAAAACCTCTCAGAGATCAGGCAGCTGACATCTGACTGACCGTCATAATGGACATACTTGTGTGAATACTTGTTCCTGATGGTCATCAGCTGCTTGTTGGGCGTGGCAGCCAGCATGGAGTTCAGCTGGCTGGTCAGTTCAGTCAACTCCGACTCCTTGTAACCCGAGTAGTACTGGAGAGTGGTGTCCTGAAGAATGAATACGGAACGCGAATGCATTACAGGCAATGGGTGGAAATCGGGGCCCAACTTCATGGCGCTGCTTAACAGTTAGCAGAAAAGTCATGCTTACTGCTTACTGCAGCAAAAAAGTTTGCTCAGCGTAAAACTAAGCATTATTTCATGGTGGTGCTTGGTGTGGTTGTGCTCACGGCTGCGCATGCACAGCGATTTCCATTGCTTGGTCACTATGTTAAGCAAACTTTCTTCTCCAGGGTAAGAGTGCTTACTGCCCATGGTCTTCATGAGATATATGGAGCCTCCGCAAGCATGAAGTGGTGTGCTTAGCAGCGACATGATTTGGGCGCAGGTGTCAGCTTTAATGCGGTGTGCATGGAGGGACTGCAGGGTGGACGCAAATGCAAGTCTGGGAGGATTTGGAGATCTTGTCCACATGTTTGTATTTGGCTTCGGTTTTGTGAGTTTCACTCTTGCCGAGGAGACTCTACCACTCATTTCCCGATCTGAAGGTCTGATACGAGAACGTGGCTTGGAGCGATATCATTCGTCCTTGCCAATACTTGAGATGAAGCCAAAGACGAAGATGACATCCAGAAAAAGTCTCCAGAAATGGCCTAGGACTGGCAGGGCATGTGCTTGGATTTGGCTCAGCACTATTTAGCATAAGACAATGTTAGTTTTCAAACACTTCACGGGGGCTTAACAACGTTCTTATCATTAATAAGTACTGCATTTTCATTGGCTTTTGGTGGGTTTTTTTTGGCATGGGGGTTAAAAAGTTTGGTACAAGACAGCTACGGGTTTTCATTCACTGAAGTACAAAACTAACTCTGGTACCCATTAATATAATGGATTTCCAATCAACCTAGACGCCCACAAGTTAGATGGTCCACAGATTCAGGGACAAGCTTGTGATGTGTACCTTATAAGCTCTCTGTCAGTGAAAGAGGAGAGAACCAGTTTTAAAAACTCTTCCGGATTCTTAAACTCACCCATTCTCCAGTCTTGGTCATCTTGAAGGCCAGCAGCAGGGCGGCTGCTGCGATCAGCGAGTCCCGCGTCTCCAGGAACTGGGCTTCCGTCAGCGACAACTCCAAGATGAAGCGGGCGAGCGTTAGAGTCTCCATGGAGGCGTGGGCACACTATCGCAACAAATACATGAGACATTTCAACAGTTGTGGACAGGTGAGGGGCAGAGTGGAAGATTTGACAGCCTTCCAGAGTGTGGAATTGTTTGTGTTGTGGGGGCCGGGAAGGGGTTAGTTTACCTTGGCATATCTCCGGAGGAATCGGTAGGACAATGGAATGCCCAGGTCAAAGTCCAGCAGGGCCAGGATGGCCATCTCCATGTCGATGAACTGCTGTCTCTCGTAGGCGTCGTCACAGATGTACTTGAAGTCGTCCAGGGCAGGCGGGCAACGCTCCTGAAATTAGGACCGAAATATGAAGTGGTCTCTCTTGTAACGACGAAATTTGATGGCACCTGCACTCACTACAGCAGCAAACGTATCAGGCATACTCAAATGCAACAGGGTCAAATACCTGCTCCGTTGAAAACTGTGATTAGAAAATTTATGAGCAAAGCAAAAATTTGCAGAGCACCAGGGACAAGCAATACACATAGCATAACTTTTTGGCTGGTAACCTGTTTTTGCTGAGCAACTTTCTCATGTGCTTAGCACTTTTCTGAGCCCCATGAAATTGGCCCCAGGTAGGTTTTTCTCTGAGCGTATTCACTATGCAGCATTGAACAAATCGAAGCATTGCACAAGAGCGACACTGCATTGCAGAAACTGTGAGCAATCATACCATCGCCAGCATGGCACTTTGCCATCAACTATTCTCAACCACATCCACCGAAGCTGAAGAGGCCACAAACACATCCAACCCAAAAACCATGCCGAACCTAACAAGATTTCTATGCCATTGCCAGGAAACTGTGGGGGGGGTAAGGTTGGAAATTCTCTTCAGGAGACAGACTGGGGCTGGAAACGGGCTGAGGGGAAAGTAAAAACTCACGTCGTATTTGCAGGCGATGAAGAGCGAGGTGGCGCCCAGGAGCTGCAGAACATCTCGCGTGACGGCCTTCTGCATCAGGTAGCGGTCCACCAGCTTGACGGCCAGGTACAGCGTCTCGTGGTTCAGCTCAAAGTTCTCCTGGACTTCCACCAGCCAGTCCACCAGCACCGCCCGCATGTGACGGTTCACCTCCGGCTGCCGGTCAAAGTAGGCCTGGATCGGGGTTCGAAGCTGTGGGATAACCAAACAGAAACAAACAAACAAAAACAATTTAGATGGTCCTTTGGATTTTCAGGCTCTTGCAAAAAACATATAGGAGCAGATGACCAGAATTCCAGCAGACAATCAAAATGCATGCGATGCGACTGGCATAAGGAGGGAAGGAGCTCTTTTAGTTTTTCCGAAGGCAAGGCCTTTTGAGAACAAAACAACTGGTCACGTCATGACAGTTTGGACATGTTCGGTGCATGCAAGTCTACATGTGACCTCGATTGGGCCGACTTCGGATGGGCATTATTTCCCCGAGTGACCCGCAATGTGCTTTCTTTTGAGCGTGCCCCGTCTGAATACCAAGCTCGCCCCCTGGTTGATACATGTACCCTGCAGCTTTGACTGCCTGATGTAGCAGCAAACAGATGCCGTCGCAAAATGCCGTCTCACGT